GGAAAGAATTTTTACGGAAAATTAACTAACGACCAGAGACGTAACAATATCATAAACGCCAACTTGTCAAGAACTTCTGAAAGAGCGAGCATGTTCGGTAACAAGTGTCGAAGCTCTAGTTCTGATAACATGGACATTTTAAATTCCCACTCTGAATGGAAAGATGAAAGTATTTGATTTTCTTTGCTGTTCGCGTGTTTCTGAAGAATAGTTTTTGTTTTGTTAAAGATAACTTTTAAGTTCGCGCTGTTTAGCAAGAGAAATTTTATCAGAACTTGTAATGGCAATGCTCCGATTAAAATCAGTTATAGTTGTTTTACAGAAGTCGTGTGCAAGGTCTGTAACATTGATTGAGGGAGAATTTATTTCTATTGTGAACAAAAGTGATTGTTGCAGGATCATAAAGTAATGGCTGATATTAACTTTAAATAGTTAGCTATGATCTGATCCTGTAAATTAATCTCAAACAATTCGGCATGATGGGTGTCAAGCGTTTTTCACTAAGTTTGAAAGGAACTTACAAGAAACTTGTGTAGTTACTGAGGTTGTTCGAAGTTTCTGCTAGTACTAGAGACAAGTGGTACAGAGAGTGTCTATAATTTTAGAAGGGGGGTGAGATAGCATGCAATTACAGGTCCTTTGGGTTACTGGAGGAAATTCTAAGTTTAAAAATGGATAAGAGCAGGGCCGGTCTGGAAGTAGGGGTATTTGAAGAGTTCAGGTTGGATTGTACAGTATTAGTATGCAGACCAGGTAGGATATAATTCGTAATAAAACATTGGAAGTTACAGGAGCTTTCATGGAAAGAAAGATGATCGCGTGTAAGAGCATCATCACTGTATAATGATTATAATGTTAGCATATGCAGAGTTATTAATGATATAACATGCATCTTTCATACTCAAATTTCATCTATTGCTCTCAACCACATCTTTTTGTCCGATTGTGACGTTATTGTAATTACAACAAAGAACCTGATTCAGGAACCAAACTAGTTACAAGGTACATGCATTTTCAGTTTAACACGTGTTGGGTACAGTTGGAGTTTGGATATTGGCATAAGCCTTTGAACTTAGAGGATGAAATTGTTTGGCAAAAGATTATGAAGATTTTTAGTTAATAGTGTTAACTGGATCTACAAGGAAGGCCTCATACAAAATGTTGAGTATATGAAAGAGTTCTAGGACATTTTCTGTTATTTACATGAAACTTGTTCGTATTATTTACCAGAGAACAAGATCATTATTTCTTTTGTTAGTTCAATATTATGTATTTCCTTGTTTCATTTTATTTTGCTTTCGTCGAAAAAATTATTTATTCAAATATGCAAAATGTTTACCAAATTTTTAACTCCCCCACCGAAGGTTATGTTTTCAACCTGTGTGTGTGTGTGTTTGTCAGCAATATTTCTCGAAAATGATTGAATGGATTTAGACGAAAGTTGGTATACATTTGGACTACGACCCAATATAGAAGTGATTAGTTTTTGGAGTCAAGGTCACGAAAATCCATAAAGTTCCTATCTGTTAACATAAGAACCAATTTTTCACACTATTTTTGCTCTGTCAGTCAGAAATGATCAGAAGTTTAGTAAAAACGACATTCATACTCCAGATATATATATATACATGAAAGATTTTATTAAAATTTTAACCAACGTTTCGCCTTTGCAGCTTTATCAGGGTTAAATATACGCAACCGTTTAAACCTGATGAAGCTGCAAAAGCGAAACGTTTGTTAAAATTATAAAAAAAATTATATATATCTGAATATAAAGGTCGTTTTTTCTAAACTTTTTATCAAAATGTGTAAATCCCTCCAGTATGCACTACAAATTTTGAAAGACAAGACAAAATGATCGGAGTTTGATGAAACTTGTGGAATATTATTCCACGTTGTCCTGCCAAAAATGGACCGTGTTTGTTGATAACGACGAACACATTTTCGTATTTTCTGAGAGCCGAATACGATCAACGCTGTATGGCAGAGGTATTCACTCTACTGAACGTCTCTAAAGTTTTTTTAAACGTTTATACCTTAAATAATAATTTTCCTATACTCACATATTCATACATCTCCAAAACGACTTTACAGAAATTATCTAAATACATAAACATTAAAAATAACTTAACAAAAATCATTTAATCGTTTTCTTATTATATATAAATGTTACAATGTGACTTTTAAACAACGACGTTCATTATGACATTTGTGACAGCCGTATCGCTGACTTAAATAATGTGATTACAATAATGGTTATATATAAATGTTACAATATGACTTTTAAACAACGACGTTCATTATGACGTTTGTGACAGCCATATCGCCGACTTAAATAACGTGATTAAAATAATGGTTTTTCCCTCTGAGATCATATTATCTAACCCTAGAATGGACTTATAAATTCCATCGTTAAGTGTTTTTGAAAATTAACAACTAAGTTAATTAATTTCAATTGCAGAGTGAATGACAATTTGTTTGAATATAAGGTATACGATTAGTAAATTTATGTCAAGTGTTGTAATATAAAACTTTAACATCAGATAACATTTACTTATTGTTAAGTGTACAATTATAAAATATCAAATATCCTCAATTGACATTACTGCTACACTCCATCCTGCACCATTCATTACTAAACCCATTACTGCTACACTCCATCCTACACCATTCATTACTAAACCCATTACTGCTACACTCCATCCTACACCATTCATTACTAAACCAAATATCGTCTACTAATAAAACCTTATCTATACAAGGTTCCGGGATTAGATAATTGTCAAGTAAGTAAAATCTCAAAGAGAAAAAATGAAATACAACAAAGGAGTTAGAAGAGGGAATCCTCAATAGCCATGGCACTTACAATTCTTTTAGGCAGGATTAGAGTAAATTAATCTATGAGACCTTGGGCATGGTGAAGTACATCAATTAAAAAGGTTTGACCTCCTGAATCCAAAACTGTAATTAGATCTCAGATCGTCAAGAAATGAGGAGCTACGAGATAAAAATTTGTATTTGAAAAACCCAAACAAAAACTGAGCTATTCTGTGAGCTGTTATACTGTGGCTAAAAAAAGTGATAAACTTCGAGAAAAACAGAATCATGCAGTGACAACTACCAGGAAATATAAAGGTCAACAATGACAATAAGAAGAGGAGAGTAATAACCTTTGAGATAAAAACAGAGGACAGCAATTATAATCTTGGAGAAAAAGTTTTTCCTACCCCTTGATTTAAACAGAGGGTCAATAATTGTGGAGTAAAAGAGAAGACAACACCCTTTTTTCATAATTAAGTTCACCAACTTCTATTTTTCACGTAGCTATACTAATTCTCAGTCCAATAAATCACTTACTGGATATTTTCAACTTAGTTTATTGTAACAACTAATATTAACCGTGCATTTTATCAGTTATATAACTGAATCTAGATTCTAAGTGGGTTTTGTAGTGTAAGAAGTAAATATTTTGTTTACACTATGTTATATGTAAGTTACCATCTTTTAAAAGTGTTTGCCTTATAGTGGTATTACAATCAGATTAAGATTACGTTTAAAACATCTGTTCTAATTCATATACACAATAAAAAGAGGATAACTTGTGATTTAAAATAAACAAATAACTGGAAATTCATAATAATAGGTCAAAATTTTCTACATTTTATGTATATCAATATTTAACTAAGTTTTATAAAAATAATACATACAAACACACCTGTTATACATTATACTGTTCCCCTTTTTAAGTAATGACAAACTTTGGTGTTTTACACAAATTTCCTGATATTGGATATCTCACAAATTACTAAATACATTTTACACACAACCTCTTACAGAATAATACTATTGTATAAGAAAGCTACAGATAAGAAACTTCAATTTGTGATAAAAAAATAGCCATAATGATTTACAAACTATAATAGCTTATCATTTATGGAGATATTAAAATTTACACAAATCAGAAGAAGCTGAGCCATGACAATTACCTGCATCTCACAAATCAAGTTTAAATCCTGATAGCAATATAAGATGCAAAATACAAGTCTTTCTTAAACAGTAACAAAATCTACTAAAACTGAATATCAAAGGATATCTTACGACACATTCTTGGTTTAAACAAAAATTATTTTAAAGATTTTTTTTTATTGTTGTGAAACTTTAATAATATATATATATATATATGTATTTGAATTTAAGAATCACATGTTTTTCATATATTTGAGAAATAAATATATATTTTGGAGAAATATAACTTCTCGTAAACACCGACTTAAAGAAAATCTTCTAAAGCAAATAATGAAGAAAATTCTTTTTTTTTTAAATTTAATACGTAATTCTTCTTTACATAATAAACAAAGAAATCAGTTTGCAAGGATCAGCACTATTAAGTTATGAGAACAAGTAACAGAGTAGAAAACATAAATGTGTACTCCTTGAAAATACCAAAAATTGGCACTTAAAAACAATCATATTCAAAACAAAAAAAACTGTGGCACAAATTTAAAAGGTTTTGAGCAACTGTCTAACTGTGAATATGTAAGTTGCCACAAATACTAAATTTGAAGTCAATATTCTAGTGCTATAATATGATATAAATGAAAACATTTCACAGGATCAAGACTTACATACCTTGTTAAATAGATTCAAAGTTCAGTATACATTCACAAGATATATCCCTTTCATTTTACTATTACGGTAGAGGACCCAGTGAGAATTATGCACACCCTTTAAATACTTTTCTTGAAACATGGTAATCAGAAGAGTTATGTAAGTATTTTAAAACAGGTGTTTCCATAAAATGTTTAGTTTCAAAATCATGCAGTACAACGGAGTTATCATTACAATAGTATAACAAATCTCAAGTTTATTGTAGTTGTGAGCAGGTTCTCATGTAAAAATCATGTGCAAAAGTAAAAGTATACAATAATGTAGTGTATCTATACATACATACATGCACAAACACGTACATGTTAAACACACGACAACAGTTATAAGACAGTTACCAAGAGTTTGGTTATAAACCAAAAACTTTACCAAGTATCTCCTTAAATACTGGTATTTGAGTTGTCAACAGTATGTTAAATCATTTACAATCTAAACTTTATTTTGGGTGTTGCTGTAGAAACACTAAAGACTGCATAGATGAGATCACCGTGGTCACATCACCCTGGACGACTAGTTATCAAGGCAGGTTGCCTGATCCAAAGTCAGATGTTCTTTCTGATGTAAACTATTGCTGCAGATCCCACAGCTATAGCTGCTATTCCAACAGCTGCTATTGTGAGTGTATGAACTACACTTCTAATGTAACTCCCAAAAGTTGACAAGACTGTTTCCTATATTTCAAAGTTAAAAAAAAAAAAAACAGAATTAATGAAATCACCCGAAACACCAGATATAAGGCAAACGGCAAAACATTATTCTTGGTGTCATACATAAAAAAATAAAGGATACACAGTAATTTACAAAGACCAAGTATTCAACTCAGGCTATTAAAAATGTTTGTGGTGGTTTGATATATATAAACATATATTTATGTATTAAAGATATATTTTCTTTTTAACCACAAGTAAAGTTGCAAGTATCATTTGTGATACGTAAGGCCTAATGCATTCCTTAACTGGCTGCACCCTCTGCTATGGTATTGCCTATTATCTGACCAACCATAGAAAAATGGCAATGACTAATATTTTTATTGGTAGATTGTTAACATGTCAAAATAGTGTTGCTCTCTTTGAAAATGTACACACAATCGGAATCACCTTGTATATCTCAATATAAACTATGAACAGAAATCATAGTTATTACGATTGTTATGAGCTCCATTATTCTTATAGCATGGTATTTACCTACAAGTGTACTTGCTGTATGAAATGTAAACATTGTAATGACAAATGGGTGCTGAAATCTCTGACCCTTAAATATTCTTTCATGATCCTTCTGAGGACCATGTGGCCTGCAAGACAAACAAATATGACATTGATGGTGGGGCCTTACAGGTTGAAGATGTTATAATATCTTTCAATATAATGTGTTCTTTCTAAACGTATTAAAAGTTACAAGAATAATCATATTGCTGAAGATTATCAGTGAAACAGCCCTAAGAACTGTTTTATAACACCCAATTCTTCAAATTATGTAAAACTGAATTTTTTTCATCTGCTTATTTATTACCAAGTAGTATCTAAAATATTTGAAAGTATTTTAAATTTATTCAACTAAACTTCATTGTCCCCTCCAATACTAAAGAAAGCAATTATCTAAAACAAAACTTGATGATATACCTTGACAGATTGTTTAGGCAGAGTATTCATGATGAAACCAAGTTGAATGGATGGCAACTGCCTGTTGTAGAAACATAAGTGTAGAGGATGACGTTTTGAAAGTCTTCCACCTTTCATCTTCAGGTTTTTTTAAAACAGGCAGTTGCTGTCCATTCAACTTGGTTTCATTCCTTGAAACTTGATGACACTACACATGATTTCAATGAGGACATGTAAATTCTGGTTTTGAGTCACATTTTGACTAAAACAAAGGTTTGATTAATCAAGAGTAATAAAATGTAAAAGCTGCTAATTTAGAAACTATCAATCTTTCTAGTATTTTGCACAAAATATTAGTAATTTCTTTCAGTTTATAATTTGAAAATATTGATAAAGATATCTATACATAATAAATAAAAAGGTTTAAATAAACAAAGTGTTTATTATTTTCAGTGGTATTCTTATTTCTATTAGACTTAAAGTTGGATCATCAAGGCAAGAGAAAATAGTTGATATTTGAAAGAGTGTAGTACTTTACAGTCATTCAGAAATATCTGGACAGATAAGTCTGCACTTTCAAAATTACAATACAAATGTTTAACATAACAATTTCGATGTTTGCTTTGGATTGTTACAACAATCAGTACTTTAAATGACAATGAAGTGGTTTGCGAATTATTAAAAAACAAATCCCAAACTACCTACCCTAATTTTAAAAGGAGTGTAATAAGAACCATAACTTTTGTTTGTACTTACTTGATATACATCAATTGAGGATTATCTTTATAAACATCACAATTGTTTGTTTTCATCTGAATATGTATATTGGTGTTAGTATATTATCTGGGCTATGATCTATACAACAACACAGCTTCAGGTATGAAATGATATTGCTATGAAATATAAATGGCAAAAATTTCATCAACTAATCGTAATCACAGCAGAATTGCAGATATCTTCCCAGTCAAAACAGCAATTATATGGAAAGTGCAACTGTCCTACTACTGTGAACTTTCTCCATTTAGATAAAAGGTAACATTAAATACTAGGCTGCAAGAGAAAACAATAACATGTGCATATTCTTTAATAGATTGTTTAGACAGTGTATTCATGATCAAACTTTGCTGAACGGATGACAATTGCCTGTTGTAGAAACACAAGTGTAGAGGATGACGTTTCGAAGTCTTCCACCTTTTATTTTCAGGTTACCAATGCCCCTTTCAAATGTACTTTTTAGAACAACGCACACATAAGGCACTAAAAGAAAATGTCTCAAAACTACTATAATTTAATTGGATTCCTAAATTTTTTGTCAGCTGCTCATAGCTGAGCAATAATAATCACATACATAACATCTGAGTCGAAAAGTCTACAACTGCATGTCAAAAAGCTATGACAAGATGGGAGGAGCCTCATTGGTTGGTGTCACTAATTTATTTATATTTCAGTAATTCAAAAAACTAGGAGGTATTAAATCTTATAGCCTGGGCTGTCAATATCTACTGTTTAAGTTTTAGATTAATTGGCTTCTCTTAAAGCATGAGAAGAAAATGTCTAAAAAATGAGAATTAGAGAAGTTAAGATTAAGAATTCATTTAAGTGTTTCCTGATCAAATTAAAAAAAAACTGAAACTTAGATAATATAAAAATTTGAATTATAAACTATGTTTAAATGCCAAGTTTAGTTGCATACTTAAGATAATAAAGTCGTTTAATTAAATTTTGACTATAACTGTAAAAAGGTCATGATATGTGCACTTTGATCTTGCTATGCACAGAGGAATACGAGTTAAAATACTTAACAAAATAAAATGGAGTTATATTCAAAAGGTATAAATAAACAGAATTTAACAAGAAGACCAAACCTGGCCATTTGCCTATAAATAGTATTAGCTATTTCAACATCATTCAACACAAACAAGTCTACAAATCAGCATTGAGTACAATATATCACAAAATGGGAAACCTGTAAATGTTGACAAAAATTGGTAAGAGTTACTGTTATGATATTTACATGTACCTGACCCCTGTAAAGTTTTTATCTATTTGATTATTTTTATAGGAGTAGGGTGAAGTAGTGATTATAAAGAAGCTGGTTATAAAAATAATTGAAAACGGTTTTTAATGGTTACACAGATTAAGATTAAGATTCTTTTGCTAATGAGACAGTATTAAGACTTTAAATTAAGACATACTGACTGATCAACTAGAAGCAGAATTAAGCTAATGCTAAATTAATAAATTAACTTATGATTCTGTGTATTCATAATTGATTACTATTTTAAAGAAAACTACTTACCCATCCACCATTTTCATAAACCCAAGTGCACACACGATGTTTTATGAATGCATAAGACCATGTCATAAATTGTTTACCATAGTCAATGGCATGATTAAGAAAAGCTCGTATCACAAGGTCAGCACAGAAGCAGAAAAGAGTTACAATGCGTTCTTTCATATTACGCCCATCATAAAACATCTCTGACAGAAGATTATAGAAACTTTCTGATGTCAAGTGATTAATGTCCACCTAAAAACAGAAGGAAATTCAATTTATAATGAACTGACATACACTTAACCAATTTAATCAAACAATAAAAGGAGCTATATTTAGAACAACTTAAAATTGTACTGTTTGAAATTCAGTAATGAGTTGGGTGTAAAACTTTTTATTCAATGTCAAATTCTTACAGCCTTTTGCATATTTTTTTGAAACAAGAAACTAGTAAAAAATAATTAAATGAATAAAGTCAACCTCATAAAAAGATATTACCTTAAGTTAAAGTAAATGAAAAACTCATATAATATATAAATATTTTTCCAAATAGCAAAGTAGGAAGCATTCCAAAAGTGTTTGTTTGTTATAGATTTCGCACAAAGCTACACAAGGGCTATCT